ACTTAATAAAATGTTACTTTGAATACATGGAGGTATATCATGGCTAATTTTTATTATACTGGAGCCTGGTAAAACCATGATCATAGACCTGGGAAAGTGGATGGCATTATAACATCACCCTGACAATAAGTGAAGGAGGAGAGGAGGAGAAAGTTCTTTTGGAGGATTTCTACTAATTATATTATAAAGGCGTGATTTTTCTCTACGGTTGGTAAGGGTATATTTGCCTTACTCACTAGAAGTGTCACGTGTGGATAGCTATTTCACTGAATGTTTCACTTCAGGATTTCAGAGTTTTTTTTGAGCACGAGTATTTTATTAATTGTTTGGAAGGTTTTCACAAGTGTTTCACTATCACTTAGTGTTGCACAACTTTATGATACACATTTGTGTGTGCATGTAAGCTTATATATATATATATAATTTTTTTTTTTTTTTTTTTTTTTTTTTGATTTTTTTATTATGGTAATGCACTATTGTGAGTTTCTTTTTCTTTGAGGTCTTTCACATAATTCACTGAACACAATCAACGCTGCAAGATTTACATTTTTTTGGTTCTATCATTTTGATTATTGAGACACTGGACTTTATGATTTTGTTTTGATTATTGGGACTTTGGACTTTATGACTTTCTGTTGGTTCACGTTTAGAATCATATGGGGATATTTTTGTGGTTGCACATATAGGTAGTTGATAAAAGAGGGAAGATTCTTTTTTTGGATTAATTTATTTGATTATTAACTTTCAAGGGTTGAAAGTTTTTTTTCCAATTTGGAATTAGTGTAGGTTTGAAGGGTTTTAATCTGGTATCACATTCACATTGTATTTATAAATTGCAAACTAACTCAGATATAAATTCACTATAAATTGTATTAATAAATACAAATTTTGTAAGCAGATGTATATTTCTTTGTATAAGCATCTTGGTATGTCCTGTACAATACAACTCAAACTAGGGGAGAGGGAAGGGCAGCACTGAGGACCAATCAGGTGTGCATCAGTGCATATATGTGAATAGAATAAGCAAGCAGAGGGATGTGAATGTTCCTTTAGGGACGGTTCCAACCAAAATCACAAAGCAACAGGGAACTGGGTTCATGTGCAGTTTTGCATTCCTCTACAGTGTTATTTGGCTGCCCATTTGAATGAGCTGAAATCACACCAGAATGCACATAAAGTAGTGCATGCAGTACTTTTGGAAAATGTGCCACACCAAATCACACGGTACTGCAGTATCATGTGATCTGGCACCTGCATTTGGGGTTCCCTTAACAATGCATTGTCACCAGCAGATCAGAAAGGCAATGAATTTTGATCATGGTTCAGGAAACATGCACTGAACACACCTTTCCTGCACCGTGTTCCAGTGTGATCCGGGCAGTGAAGGGAGTTGACCTAGCTGTATTGCTTAAAGCCCAAAACCAGGCATAATGTTCATTGACACAAAATTTAAATCCTAAATCAAATCAAAACAGCATCAACTCTCAGTTTGATTACCGTATGTATTTAAACCGCGTATTTAACTATTTGTCTGGTGATCAGCCTAAAATTACTAAATGTATGTTTTGGGGCAAGTAAAGTGGCAAAGCTGTTGCTGGATGTCCAAAGGCATATAGACCAATTCATTACAAATGCAGAGTTAGGTTTCAAGCCTGTAAACTGTAGGTATCTAAGTATCACATACTGTTTCAACCATAGACCATGTATTTTAGTTCTGGTATGTAAGCAGTATTGGAACAGCAACTGTAGAATTCCATACAATTGGTAAGCGTGCAATGTTCCCAGAGCTGATAGGGCAGTTAGTAATACAATTAAAGTCTAACCACACTCACATGATTTCTGTTGTTTTTTTTGGGGAACTTTTTCTAAAGGATTGGTGGCCTCATATCCCACCTTCTACAGTCATATATTTTTATTAAACTATCTAAAAATCCCTTAACCTATCTAAAATCTCTTTTATACAAAGTTGTTTATTATTTTTAAAAAATCCAAGATGTACAACAGACATTTAATAATTTTCTACAAATCCCAATGATTGATACAGTATAGATAATGAATTATGTTTGCAAAGTTTAGTATTTTACTGGCTGCCTTAGAATACCAAGTTTACCAGTACTTGGTACATTTTAACTTACCTGCAATCAGCTGATAGCACATTTTAATTTAGTATACTAAATTATTATATACAGTATATTATTGAAGTGATATTCTCCATCAAACCTGATACAAACCACCAGTAGATACAGAAACATAGACCATAGCATAGCCACCCAAATAACAATAAATTATAACTGAGAGGAGGTTTCCTGAATTGTTACAGTAATACTTATAAGTGCTGTATTTTAGCTTTAAGGTTGTAAAACATTTCTGACATTTATTACAGAAAAAAAGATTACATCTATGAACTCTGTATATTCATAGACAGATTTATATATCCATTAAGAGATATACAAAATGCTTCGTGTGTTCTACTATTTAGAATTAAGTCAAGCATAAAGGATGACAACTGAGCAGAAAGTATGTTTTCTGGAAAGTTGCAATAACACCCAGAAATTATTTTTATTCACAAGGCAGAAACACAGTAGAATAAAAATGATAACATTCTCAGCCGTACAGTATACATAGAAAAAGTGTGTAAACTGTTTATACTGTTCCAGTTCAAGAAAACCCAATCACGGAACCTCAGACAATTATAAATGATCGCTGAGTGGGAATTTCAATTACTGGAATTTGTTAATAATACTTAAAAAAAAAGACATAAAAAAGTTGCAGTTTTAAGGGGCAAGCATAACCAGCAGCAGCCTATAATACCATATGGTTGCTGTTAAATACTGGACCATTCCAATAGGAAAAAATCTGAAACCTCTAGGGTAGTGTCAGGGTTTTCTGCCTACCCCCAACATTCATATTGTCCTATCACTGTGATGGGTAGCCTTACTGACCAATAGGAATGTATAGGAGGCAAGTGGAGAGGGCAAGGTTTAGCCCCCTCAGGCAGTGCTTGTCAGAAATATCTGGCATTCAGTTGTAATGACAGGGTTTGCAGGCTGATGTAGAACATCTAGATGCCTGCACTCTCTATATACTGAATATAGACACACACACATATATATATATATATATATATATATATATATATATATATATATATATATAGTATATACATTATAAGGTGTCTTCAAAACGTTTCCACACTTTATATACAGTATATAATAGAGTTAAAAGTGCAAAACTGTTTGAAGAACCCTCATATATTTAGCTATTTGGATCTGAGCACAGACCTTTATTCAGGTCAGTTCTATTGCAGAGTGTACTGTCCAGACCTGAATCTGTAGCTCTCCTCCATCTTTGTCAGTTTACCCTCCATTGGTACTATATCTCTATGTCAATTAAGCTTTCAGCTGCCATGCCCCGCTCTCCATATTTCACCTTTGCTAATTTTTCACTTTTTAATTATTTTTCACTTACAGGTTGTAAAGTTTGTAAAAAAAAACATAAATTTTCTGACATCAAGAGACCAAAAGAATATTCTAGGTCCTGTGATAGTTGCACAAATGTTTATCAAAATATTGATAAAAATACACTAAAATCATTATTAGCCCACATAAAAGCAACATAGTTTATAAAGTTCCCACTAAATCTAGAACAGTTTTTCTGAAAATTTTATAACATGGAGAAGCCCTTAAAAGAACTTTTCACGTTCAGGGAACCCTGCTAATAATTCGATAACTACAGCTCACGGTACATTAGTGTGTAGTCACTGGGAAGAATGCTCCTTGCATTGGTGGTCATTGAGAAGAATCCCCCCTTATAGATAGCTAGAAAGATCATTGGTGTCAGTGGTTACTTATCTAAGAGGCAGAAATCGCTCATTGCTTAAGGAACCCCTAGAAACCTCTGCAGGAACGTTAGGGTTTCACGGAACCCTGGTTGAGAAAGGTAGTCAATATTTCTATATTTTAAACCATACCTTTTTGTAAAGCAGTGAGAATTGCAAAACTGTACAATATGTGTGCTATGTTAATGCTATGTTTTATTTATTTTTTTTTCAACTTAGATAATGTAATCAGGGCATGACAAAGCACTTTGGTGACAATGTATATATTAATTCTGAAACTGTGACAGGTTCTCTTTGGAGAAATATCAGGGGTCTAAACAAACCCTTCAAGTTTCCCCTTTGTGATAGAGAAAAAGACTGGGGACACAGAGTCTTCCTATTACCCTTTTGCATGGCACTTATTACTAGATATAGAGGTGCTAAGTACTTAGTTCTTCCATGTTAAATCACCAACAGAAAGAGATTGTAAACAAGAGAGGCATGTTTACTGACCTCCCCACTCATCAACCTGAACCGAAAAGCCAGCAATGAGGACACCAATCTGATCAGTAGTATGGACTGGGAGGGGAAGTGGCACTGTAGGAGGAAATCAGATAGCAGGGACCAATGGCAGAGACAGCAGGCAGCATAAAGTACATGAAGGGAGAAATGGACACTGCAGGGCAGCACTGGAGAGGGGGGGGGGGGGGGGGGTGGTCAGCCATATGTTTTAAAAATTACTGTGATTGGAAACTTTTCAGCTACAGATTACAGCTATTCAACTGGTCTGGGTGACCTTTCTGTTATAGGTACGAACGTACTGTATAGCATTAGGGAATGCAAGGACTGAGCCGGTCTGTTACAAGCAGTTTTGTTCCATCGTAATCCTTATGCTCATGGCAGTAAAAGGGTTAAAGTGTGCCATAAATAAGCATTTTTCACAGTTGAATATGTAGCAGCCAGTGGGGAATCATTTCCACGCAGCTTGCCAGGTTTACCATGTATTGTGATATATGCAAACCAAGAAACCATGTTTTCATGCAATAGTTTTCTATAAGTATGTAAGGTTAACCGCCTCCTGCCTGCCATATAGTACAATGACGGACGCAAGGCGGTTCTCTCGTTCTGGGAGGACGTCATATGACGTCCTCCCATTCTAACCGCGCAGCACGGTGATCTGCGGTGCGCTGTGTTCCTCGATCACAGCAGATCACCGATCAACAGAAAGAGTCGAAGATGCCGGCTCAGTCATGTGATCAGCTGTGTCCAATCACAGCTGATCACATGTAAATAGGGAAATGCCGGTTATCGGCATTTCTCTCCTCTGGAGCTGTCATGCTGACAGCTCGTGAGGAGAGCCGGTAATCAGCATTCCTCTGAGGGCACATGTACACTGATCATCAGAGCACTGATGATCAGTGTACCCTGATGATCTGTGTAGCCCCAGCTGTGCCACCTGTCAGTGTCCATCAGTGCCAGCTCTCAGTGCTTATCAGTGCCTCGTGCCAGTGCCCATCAGTGCCACATTTCAGTGCTCATCAGTGCCACATCAATGCCACATATCAGTGCCCATCTGAAATGCCTTTCAGTGTCACCCATCAGTGCCAGTCAGTGCCACCTATCAATGCCAGTCAGTGCCACCTATCAGTGCTGCCAATCAGTGCTACCTATCAATGCCAGTCAGTGCCGCCTATCAGTGTGTTTCAGTGCCGCCTATCAGTGCCCGTCAGTGCTTCCTATCAGTGCAGCCTAACAGTGCCAGTCAGTGCCACCTGTCAGTGTCGCCTATCAGTGCCAGTCAGTGCCGCATATCAGTGCCGCCCATCAGTGCCATATATGAGTGCTGCCTTTCAGTGCCCATCAGTGATGCCTGTCAATGCCCATCAGTGCCACCTACCAGTGCTTCCTCATCAGTGTCCATCTATCAGTGCCCATCAGTGCAGCCTATCAGTGCCCATCACTGCAGCCTCATTAGCACACATCAGAGAAGGAGAAAAAACACTTATTTACAAAATTTTATAACAAAACTAAAAAAACACTTTTTCTTTCAAAATTTTCTGTGGTTTTTGGTTTGTTTAAGAAAAAATAAAAAACCTAGAGGTGATTACATGCCACCAAAATAAATCTCTATCTGTCACAAAAATTAAAAAAAAAATTTCATATGGGTACAGTGTTGCATGACCGCGCAATTGTCATTTAAAGTGTGACAGCACTGAAAGCTGGGAATTGGCCTGGGCAGGAAGGGGGTATAAGAGCCCTGTAGGCTAGTGGTTAAATAACAGAGGGTTCATTGATAATATTGTATGAATGTTGTATGAACACTGTATACACAGGCAGTCAAATATCGGGACTCCAGTGAAGAGAACGCATCTAAGAAGCACTGGAACTTTGATGTGCGTTCAGGGGTGGACTGACAACTCATGGGGCCCCCGGGCAATAGGGGATCATGGGGCCCCTGTGTCCTTGCCCAATCTCAAAAAAGCCTATGAAAAAGGTACCAGAGGCATCTCATGGGGCCCCCTACTGACCCCGGGCCTTCGGGCAGTGCCCCGAGTTTTCAAATGGTCAGGCCTGTGTGCGTTCATACATATTGATGGTTGTCCTCAAAGGGGCGGTTGTATCTGTAAGACTATGTATGCAGAGTTCAGGAGTGCACATGTACAGATGCAGAGTTTCAGGTACATGGTGTACAGAGTGCAGAGTTCAGGTGTAGTGTACAGAGTGCAGAGTGTACATGCAGTGTACAGAGTGCAGAGTTCAGGTGTACATGGTGTACAGAGTGCAGAGTTCAGGTGTACATGGTGTACAGAGTGCAGAGTTCAGGTGTACATGGTGTACAGACTGCAGAGTTCAGGTGTACATGGTGTACAGACTGCAGAGTTCAGGTGTACATGGTGTACAGAGTGCAGAGTTCAGGTGTACATGGTGTGTACATGGTGTACAGAGTGCAGAGTTCAGGTGTACATGGTGTACAGGTGTACATGACTGCAGAGTTCAGGTGTACATGGTGTACAGAGTGCAGAGTTCAGGTGTACATGGTGTTCACAGAGTGCAGAGTTCAGGTGTACATGGTGTACAGAGTGCAGAGTTCAGGTGTACATGGTGTACAGAGTGCAGAGTTCAGGTGTACATGGTGTACAGAGTGCAGAGTTCAGGTGTACATGGTGTATAGACATGTACAGAGTTCAGGTGTACATGCAGAGTTCAGGTGTACAGAGTGTGTACATGGTGTATAGACTGCAGAGTTCAGGTGTACATGGTGTACAGAGTGCAGAGGTCAGAAGTGCACAATGTACAGAGAGTAGAGTTCAGGGGTGCGCGGTGTACAGAGTACAAGGCTGAGGAGTGCGCTTCATACACAGTGCAGGGTTTAGGGGTGTGCTGTGCACAGAGTGAAGAGTTCATCTCTCTTTCACAGCCTGTCCACATTTTGCTTCCACCCCTCCTCCTCAGCCCTGACCTCTTCACCCCTCTCCCCCATCTCTCACCTCAGCATGCATCTTCCTCCACAGTCCTCATCTCCCACTCCCAAAAAAAAAACTTCCTCGCAACTCACCTACCAGGCTTGGCTCTAGTACCTCCCAGCAGTTTAGGCGGCTCCGCCTTCTCTCTCAATTGCAGGGAGATCATTGGCTGGCATCTGTCCCTGCTGTGCCCCGTCATAAGTGCATGTAGGACAGGCAGGGATCTGTAAGATCAGTGGGCCTAGTTCACACTGGCATTGAAAGCAGGCATTTAAGGGGTGTTTTTAATGCTCCTCAAATGTCTATGCAAATAATACTATGGACAGCACACAGTGCTGTTCACATGATCAAAACATGAAGTGCTAGCATCTTGTCACTTCAAAATTGAAGCCTCATGTTGATTCAGGAGGAGTTTGATGCCTTTCAAGTCTATGGTGGCGCTCCACAAACATGCTGGCAGCCGTTTGCGGGGCATTCTTGTTGCGGTTGCGGCACGTTGATAACATTACAGTTTATTATAGGTGTTTGTGGTGTGGTTCTAACACTTGTAAAATGCTTATAAAACTTCAAAACTGCACATAGGGCATTTGGTGAGCGTTTTTAACGCTTGTAAAAAGCCAGTCTAATGCCCATACTAAAGCTCATTAACGCCTGTTTAACACCTATACTAAAGCTATAGGATTGTTTGGAAAGAGTTAGAAATGTAGTCAAGTGTGAACAAGTGGTGACAGTGGTGAGGGGAGAGCGGAGGACGAGAGCCAGAGGTGGAAAAATAGAGTTCCGTCACATTCTGGCTGAAAAATCCCTGGGTGCGAGGGACACATGAAATGACCTGCAGGCCAGATTTGGCCCACGGGCCTTGGTGCTTGACATATGCGCTCCAGTAGGTACCCAGCATATTGCCAGAAAAAAAATGCAAGTTTTTTTCTGGTAATCATATATCAGGAGTAGATACAGTGTGTGGTGATCTTTTCTTTTTTCCTTTATATTACTCATAACCACAGCAGCCCTTATTGAGGAAGTATGTGTCTTCATGGAGCTACATTATTTATTGCAGAAAGGAAAATCTGCCTCGTGTTTTTCTGCACATATGCTGAACTTCTGGATGAGGACTTGATGATGCCATAGTGAGCTGGGAAGTCTTCTGCTGAATGATTTGTGCAATCTGCACAGTATAGAAGAGGGGAACTAGAATGATCTGCTGCTAAAAGCCACGACTGCTAGTCAATAGACATAAATGAAAATTGTATAGCAGTACTAAAGCAGCTGATAATAAACAAGCTGCTTGTATGAAAGAGGAACAATATATTGCAAAATTGCTTGTGCTCTTTACAAGTGTACTCTTTCCGATGTTTTGTCTTCCACATGTCAACAAGTGAAAAAACAAATAGGCAAATTATATAGACATTTAACCACTTGAGCTCCTGAGGATTTACCCCCCTTAGTGACCAGGCCTCTTTTTGCTACTCGGCGCTACACTAATTCAACTGATAATTGCGCGGTCATGCAATGCTGCACCCAAACAAAATTTACGTCCTTTTTGTCACACAAATAGAGCTTTCTTTCGGTGTAATTTGATCACCTGTGCGCTTTTTATTTTTCACGCTATAAACAAAAAAAGCCAAAATTTTGAAGAAAAACTTTATTTTTTACTTTCAGCTATAAAAAATATATAGTAAACTCAAAGTTGGTTATAAATTTAGGCCAAAATGTATTCTGCTACATGTTTTTGGTAAAAAAAATCCCAATAAGTGTATATTGATTGCTTTGTGTGGAAGTTATAGCGTCTACAAACTATGGTATAGATACTGCAATTTACGCCATTTTTCTGCTATACAGCACTGCGCTAGTTTAACGGACAATTGCGCGGTTATGCAATATGGTACATAAATGAAATTTACATCCTTTTTTTCCCCACAAATTGAGCTTTCTTTCGGTGGTATTTGATTGCCTGTGCGGTTTTTATTTTTTGCGCTATAAAAAAAAAGTCTGACAATTTTGAGGAAAAAAAAACAATATTTTGGACTTTTTGCTATAAAAACATGTCCAGTAAAAAAAAATGCAAAAATCAAATTTAGTCATAAATTTCTGCCAAAATGCATTCTGCTCCATGTCTTTGCTAAAAAAAAAACCCAATACGTGTAAAATAATTGGTTTACGTGAAAGTTATAGCGTTTACAAATGGCGGGAAAGATACTGGGATTTTTAGGGTTTTTTATACTAATAATGGCGGTGATCAGCGAATTATGGCAGCGACCAGCGACTTATGGCGGGACTGCGGGACTGCGGCGGACATTCTGACATTGGGGGGTACTGACTTGGGGTCACTGACATCCCAAAAACACTAATACAGTGATCAGTGCAAAAATAAAAAAACTGACACTGTACTAATGGCAATGGGGAGGAAGGGGTTAACTTTATTTAGCAGGGAAGGGTTATAGGAGTGAGGGGAGTGTTTTACTAGGGGGCGGGGGTGTGTACTGGGCGGGACAAGGCTGATCGAGAAAGTGAAACTATTCTTTCTCGATCAGCTCATCCTCGAGCTGACAGAGAGGTGACAGACAGCACAGCTACTGCAGCTGTGCTCTCTGTCACCGTTTACCACCGATCGCCGGGACATAGCCGCTAATGAGCGGCTGTGACCCGGCAACTGACATCTGCGGCGGTGATCCACAGGACGCGGGAAATTTGAAAATGTCAAAAAGTGACATCCACTAAATACACTAAAATTACATAGAAAAAACATTACTGTATCAAACCATTTCACATACATTTTCTCCCGAGTGCTTTGTCCTGTGCCCTGCCTGCATTTTTACCATTCTTTCTGCCTGGAAACTGAGAAACGTCCATGGCGTCCAAAAAGCGTCCCTTTAGGTCAAAAGCGGTTTTAGATCAGCTAGAGAGAACAGCGATAGTAAATCAGAACCACTTGCAGAATTGAGTGATAATGATTCGTGGGGAAATTCATTATCAGACACTGAAAACGATTTTGCAACTTTGCTCAGTGATGTGCGAACTTGGCGCTATATTTCAAATTTCAGTGTTTTTGGTTTGATTATATTATTGAATTAACCACAAGCCTACAGGTCACTTATACCCCCTTCCTGCCCAGGCCAATTTCCAGCTTTCAGCGCTGTTGCACTTTGAATGACAATTGCTCGGTCATGCTACACTGTACCCATATGAAATTTTTATCATTTTTTTGTGACAGATAGAGCTTTCTTTTGGTGGTATTTAATCACCTCTGGGTTTTTTATTTTTTCTTAAACAAACCAAAAACCACTGAAAATTTTGAAAAAAAAAAAATTTTCTTAGTTTTTGTTATAATATTTTGTAAATAAGTGATCTTTCTCCTTCACTGGTGCACTAATGAGGCTGAAGTGATGGGCACTGCTAGGCTGCACTGATGGACACTGATAGGTGACACTGATGGGCACTGATGAGGAGGCACTGGTAGGTGGCACTGATGGGCATTGACATGCATCACTGATGGGCACTGAAAGGCAGCACTGATACATGGCACTGATATATGGCACTGATAGGCAGCACTTACTGGCACTGATAGGCAGCACTGACTAGCACTGTTAGGCGGCACTGACTGGCACTGTTAGGCGGCACTGACTGGCATTGATATGCGGCACTGACTGGCACTGATAGGCAGTACTGTCAGGCACTGATATGCGGCACTGATCCGCACTGCTAGGCGGCACTGACTGGCACTTCTAGGTGGCACTGATTGGCACTGATAGGTGGCACTGATTGGCAGCACTGATAGGTGGCACTGATTGGCATTGATAGGTGACACTGACTGGCACTGATAGGTGACACTGAAAGGCAGCTCAGATGGGCAATGATATGTGGCATTGATGTGCACTGGTAGGCACTGATATGTGGCATTGATGTGGCACTGATGGGCACTGGCACGAGGCATTGATGAGCACTGACACAAGGCACTGATGGACACTGACAGGTGGCACTGCTGGGGCTACACTGATCATCACAGCACACTGATCATCAGTGCCCTGATGATCAGTGTACATGTCCCCTCAGTGGAAAGCCGATTACCGGCTCTCCTCTCCTCACGAGCTGTCAGCATGACAGCTCGAGAGGAGAGAAATGCCGTTAACCTGCATTTCCCTGTTTACATGTGATCATCTGTGATTGGACACAGCTGATCACATGACCAAGCTGACATCTTTGGCCCTTTCCGTTTTTGGTGATCCGCTGTGTCCGAGGGACACAGCGCACCGCCGATCACCACGCTACACGCTCCCTGAGCCGCGCATGCGAGGTGAGACAATTCCTCCAACTAATACCAATGATGGGGCACTCTTCCTCTCTCTGATACCAATGATGGAGCACGATTCATTACTGTGGCCAATGATGGAGTGCTATTCATCCCACTGACACTAATGATGGGGCATTATTCCTCCAATCAATGCCAATGATGGGGTACTATTCCTACCACTGATTTAAACAATTAGGCGCATTTCCTCCAACTAATACCAATGATGGGGCATTATTTCTCTCTCTGATACCAATGATGGGACATGATTTATCCCACTATCACCAATGATGGGCCACTATTCATCCCACTGACATCAATGATGGGGCACTATTCCTACCACTGATATAAACAATCAGGTGCTATTCCTCCAACTAATACCAATGATGGGGCACTATTCCTCTCTCTATCACCAATGATGGGGCACTATTCATCCCACTGACACCAATGATGGGGCACTAATCCTCCAATCAATACCAATGATGGGGCACTATTCCTCCCATTGACACCAGTGATGGGGCATTATTCATCCCACTGATACCAATGATGGGGTACTATTCCTCCAACTAATTCCAGTGATTGGACACTATTACTCCTTCCACTGAATACAAGCACTATGTAATTTTTTTTTACTCTCACTTTCTCTGGGACCTGTTCTACTCCCACTGACCACTCCGGCCCCCCTAAAGTCTGAAGGGCGCAAGCTGGCCCTTTGTGTAGAATGTTTGGAGACACCTGGTATAGACAAAAGGATGACATATAGTTAAAAACAGTATTTTATAAAAGAAAAAAATCATGGCAGTTGTTTATGATATGCCGTGTTCTACCAAACTAAATGTCATCCTGTTTGGGTTTAGAGCAACTTTACATGTATAAACCTAAAGACTATATAGTTCCCTCACAGATGAGGTACCTGACAACTTGAACAAACATTATTAACAGCAATGGGGTTGCGTTACAAAAACTAGAGAATGCAAAATCTGGTGCAGCTCTGTATAGAAACTTATCAGCTTCCAGGTTTTTTTTGTGAAAACTTAACTGGATAAGCTGAGCTTAGAAGCTGATTGGCTACCATACACGGCTGCACCAGATTTTGCACTCAAGAGTCAACCCCAGTATATCTACAGCTGATGTTGTTTACTCTCAGTCTATTTATACCTGAAGCATAAAAAGACTCCACATTTACTATTTGAGTTTTGTTGCATTTGTAAATAAATTCACTTAAGTTTAGTTTAGTTTTGTTTATTTATTTTTTACCAGATTCAAATTTTTCCAATTGATTTGAAGCATTTGAATCGAATATGAATCAAAAATATCAAAGTGATCCAAATTAATGATGAAGAATAGCTGGTTCTATTCTCTTTGAAATTTGTAATTCAAATTTCAGAAGGCTGCTATATTTTTCTATTTTATTCTATTTTAATTCTATAAAATTCCAGTTTCAGAAGACAGCTATATTCTAAACACTACTACACACTACACTAATACACTAATTTACCAAAGCTGAAGAGTGCAAAATCAGGCTCACTTCTGCATAGAAACCAATCAGCTTCTAACTTCAGCTTGTTCAAGCTTTGTCAATAAAACCTGAAAGCTGTTTGGTTTCTATGCAGAAGTGAGCCTAATTTAGCATTTTTCTCCAGCTTTAGTATATTATTATAATACAGGTTTTATATAGCGCTAACAGTTCGCTCAGCGCTTTACAATATAAAGGGAGACAGTACACGAGACAGTACAGTAACAATACAATACAATACACGAGGGGTTTGAGGGCCCTGCTCCTTGGGGCTTACAATCTAGGAGGGAGGGGATAGTGGTACAGGAGAAAATAGCAGTGGGGGATGGAGTGGTAGGAAGAGTGGAGGATTTCAGTAATTAGCTGGGGGCGGGGTAGGCTTCCCTGAAGAGATAGGTTTTCAGAGTGCGCCTAAAGATGAGGAGAGTAGGTGACAGTCTGATGGATTGGGGTAGGGAGTTCCAGAGAATGGGGGAAGCCCTGAAGAAGTCCTGGAGATGGGCATGGGAGGAGGAGACCAGGGAACTAGAGAGTAGGAGGTCTTGTGAGGAGCGGAGAGTCAGTTTTGGGTGGTATTTGGATACCAGATCCCTGATGTAGTTTGGGGCAGTTATGAACAGCTTTATAAGTTAATGTTAGCATTTTGAATTTTAACCGTTGGGCAATCTGAAGCCGGAGGAGGGATTGGCAGAGAGGGGTGGCGGATACGGAGTGGTTAGTATGGTGGATAAGTCTGGACGCAGCATTCAAGATAAAACCTATAGAAGGAAATCAGCAATAGTCAGCATAATGCTTATGTTTAAAAATTTGTTTTCAAATTTGATTCGTTTTCAAATTGCATTTGAATTTTGTTTTGTTATTTTTGATTGATTCAAATTCATTACTATTGTTATTTGGAAATTTGGACATGGTTGAATCTCCGAATAATGAACATTTTCGAGGGCTGTGACTCCTTGTGCCTTCACAGCCCTTCCCATTGAGCATGTGCAAGCTGTGGTTCACTTTGTGAACGGTCGCACAGCCTTCTAGGACCTGTGTTATGTCTCAGAAGGCTGCAGGCAAAGGAAGGGGGCCAGATTATCACTCAAATTGCCAAATCACCCCTTTAGGATTAAGTTCCGCTTTAAGGATATCATATAAGGAAATTGTGCCATAAAAGCTCCTTGAAATATTATTTGACATCTGATTGTTTATATTAAAGGACTCATTTAATGCAGATACACAAATGGTTATAATAGTAATACAGCATAATTAACAAACTTTCTTCTGGTATATTTGGCAATGAACAATGTCAAAGCTTGGCATTTCATTCAGTATGTTTTGAGAATTTTCATAGAGCCCCATGGTATTTTTTAACTTGACATATGTTTGACTTTTAGATGGATTTGTTTAAATAAAGCAATATATGCAGTATATATTAATATAATTGAATCCTACATCTCAATGTTTTGAGACTTTATACACTGTAGGGTTCAGGTGGGATCCATGGTAAATTACTTACATTTACTGTATTTTTTGGCATTTGCATCTTATTTGAGCTGTAATACTGCAGAAAAGTACATTCTGTTGACCAGGGGTGGACTGACCATTCGGGCACTCGGGCACTGCCCGAGGGCCCGGGGTCAGTAGGGGGTACCATTAGATGCCCCTGGTACCTTTCATAGGCTTTTTTTGGGTGTGGTTTGAATGTGGGCGAGGACACAGGGGCTCCATGATCCCCTATTGCCTGGGGGACCCATGAGTTGTCAGTCCGCCCTTGCTGTTGACTACTACACAACATCATTATTTATTTATTGGATGTTAACAAGGCCAACTATAGCAATGCCCTGTATTGTTTATTATTTTTTTACTTGTTGATTTGTGATATTGAGATGTTTTTTTTTTGTTTTTCAAATACATCTCTTTTGACTATAATGGCTCTTTAGCAGAAAGAGTGCCTCTTGTTTAGCATCTAGCATCTAAGTTTGTATATAATAAAAATTTAAAGTAGTAGTCCCTCTGTCTATATACATACTGTGTATAATAGGCTTTCCACTCTGATCATTGAAAGCAGTGCTCATTCTCAAGAAGTAGATATTCTTGTTAGAAAACCCTCTTTTGCCAGCCGTCCATCTGGCCAGACTCCAGCTAAGTCCATAGTGCCGGTTTTCATAGTACCGCCTGTCGCAGGCTGCAGCATTAAATATTTACACAAGTGTCTGAACATAGTCAGGGTCACTATGGCTCCCTTGGGACATGCAACATCCGCAGTATGTGGCAGGACCTGCTCCTTTGGGATAAAACATCTGTGTTCTGCTTTGGGAGATCATCATGGGAAGGAAAGTCCTAAATTTTAATACGTGCAACATCCAGGCTCTGAAAGGACTTGGCTGTTCTGCTTAGGATAGAATATTCAGGCAAGAGACAGCTTTAATTTTTAGCTTCACAAATGATTAGAATATAATTTTGAGAAAGTGTCATGGGTGCACCCTATAGTAAATGTTAAACTTAACAGTTATATAAATAGTAAAAAAAAACCTTTACAACTTTTTTTCTTATTGTAGAGCTATAAGTCTGACTCAGCAGGGGTGGTGTCCCAATCATAACCCCCTGATGAAGCCATGTGTCCTATGGCGTAACGCGTAGGGGTGGGGCTACGAAGTCACTCGGTTTCAGAGAGAACAAGCGGCAAGTACATATGCCAACGGCTGATACAGGCATTTATCACGGAAAGCGTTTTTTTGATTTTAACAATGTGAGTGCATTGATTAAGATTTGTGGAATAAAATAAGGTCTGTTTTAAGGATAAAGCACTATGTTCCTATTGTCTCCTTTCACACTGAGGAACGTATAAGGAGGATTGTGCTAGTGATTCAAAGCAGATGAAGGAGGGAGAAATCCTTGCAGAGATATACAGCGTTTAAAGGGGAAAGGTGTTTGCAAGAAGTACCCAACATCCATCATATACTGCAGCAATCCTAGTAGGTTCCAGGATATGTGAACCAAAAGCTTATTAAGCCTGTATAATAGGCTTAGAAGGAGGTGAGCGCACATCTATTTTCACTGAAGGATTCACGGAAAGTCACTGTATTATGTTTTAATCACTTTATCACAAATTTGGACTTTTTTTGGATAATGGATTTATTTTTTT